AATTAATTATTAATTAATTTTTCAATTAATTAATTAATTAATTAATAAAAATTTTTACATTGAGAGAATTCAGTGCCCTTGGCGGAGCGTTGTGCTCTCGCGAGTGCTCTACGTTTAACATGTTGTTCTTTATTGATGGACGTTTCCAATGCTGTGAGCCGATGGATACTGCTCGCCATGTAGGGCCGCGCTACGCGTCAAATGACGACCCTGTCACACAATTGACGATTTAGCAGCGTATGCCGGGCGTATAAAAAATTAGTGAATACGCTGCTGGCCCAGTAAGCGTCGATAAGTTATGGGTAGCTTTGTATAAGTTACGAGCACGCTGAATTCACGCTGAAGCACGCTGAGCACGTGGGATAACGTCGGTAGTACGGCGATGGGTCGTCAAATTTTTTGAGCATGCTCAAATTTTTCCGACGTATGCCAGCGTATGGCCCATACTGTCCCGCATACGCGGGCATAAGTTGTAGGTAAAGTTATGCCGATCGTTGACACACGTTCACCACACCGTACTTGTAAGTGATATCATAATGTCGAAATACGTTCGAGATATATGTCTAGCGTACCCACAACTTATTTCTAAGCTTATGAGTAAGTGCCTTTTGAACTATGTGTAACTTGTCTGCAACGCATATTGCACGTAATTTGACGTGTTCCGGACGACGACCACAGACTTACTGAAGCGTGTTTCTAACTTAGCAGCTACCCGTATAATGCGTATTGCAGCGTTTAAGGGCGATTTGGTAATATAAAATGGTATTGGCATATGTTGATCTGCGACGGTGTGTCTGATACTGCGTAATGTCTAGTGCGGTATGATTGAATCGTCGAGCGGGGCCTTTTTATAGGCTACGACACTGTGTCGTCGGCGATACGCTGCCGCTCCCTATCCATAGTTAGACTATTGTTGGGCATAAGTTGTGAACGCCGGCAACACGCTAAGCATTCGCTGGTATAAGTTATCTATAAGTTATCGAAACGTTCTATATACGTTACTAATACGTTAAGTATACGTCCAACTCGTTATGAATACGCTATGTATACGCCCAAAATTGAAAAAAAACATCGATAGTTCAGCGTATGCCAGCGTTTTAGAGAAATTTTGATACGTCCGGCATACGCTGGCTAAATCGTCAATGTGTGACAGGGCCATAACCGCTGCTGGGCAGACGGGTGTCCTGTTTACTGCTCTCACCAAGAGATACAATAACATCAAGAGTAGATAATAACACTATGTTATTATCTACTCTTGATAACATCCAATAATTATTGTCATTAAGATTTGAGAAGTTCTTGAAGTATACCAAGAACAGAAAGCGAAAGCGTTTTATCTAAGAGTGACAGAGGAGAGCACGTGACAAAGATGTGAAGAAAACTGCAATAAAAAAAGCAGAGAGCTCATAAACAAACTTGCATCGGAAACACCGCAACATTTTACAAAATATGAAGCATCTCCTTTCTTATCACTTTCCACCCCTCATCTACACAGGCACGCGGCACCTAGCAGAAAGAAGAATCACATAACGCAAGTGAATCGATAAACGAAGAGAAGATCATTGGCAGATCAAAAGGAACAGTCGGAGAAATTGGAATATCAGCTTATCAGTCTGTTTAACAGTAGTGCAATGACGAAGCCACGAGAGATCGTAGAGACTCCAGATTGAACATTAGTGTCTTTACCGTCACCAGCGATACAATCGAGTGCGAGCCACCAACGCGGAGGGCGGAGAATTATAGCGCAGCAGCAGAGACTCCATGCTTTGCCGCCCGTTATCTGAAATATAAATTGTTGTGACATCATAAGTCTAAGACGTCATCAATGTTTGCACGACATCACTTTGGAAGTTATGACAATTTAGATTAAACCTGGGTTTATACTACCGACTTTACGTTGGCGAGTTGGACTAATTTCGCAATTCGGTAACTCCGTTGAACATGTTCTAATCTCCCAACTAGTTGCTATCGATCGGTAGGTCGCGCAACCTTCGCGTTTACACTGCCGATTGTCGGTTGTATAGTTGGGACGTTGGTCCAATTCGCCAATACGCCAACACAAAGTCGGTAGTGTACACCCAGCTTATATGATGTCATGACTATTTATGATGGGTCTAACAACGGCCACCCTAGCTGGACAGCTTCTCGATATCTAAACCCGAAGATTAAACATAGACACATAACGTAACCGTGCTATCCCGTTGCTATCGCGACTAAACGTCGCATGCCAGCGCAAAGCAGAGAGGCTTCGCGCATACAACACCTGAAGCCAAAGCTCACATTCATGATATAGGAAAACAAAATGCATGCGAACCTAAGCGAAACGTACGCTAAAATACTTTTTATTGAACTAGCCAATAATTACGTACTTTCCACAGGTGTACAACCCCGTGTACAGCACACTGGAGCAGCAGCGGCTTTTTTTCGTTAGGAGTAACGAAGCCGTCATGCCCAAAGGAAAGTTAAACATGTTTAAACCCAATGATCAATACCCAAGTCCTGTTAATATTTTTTTTTAAACTAAGCATTTTACAGACCCAGCGGCAGAGCCACACGACCGTATGAAACAGAATCATGGTGACTGGCCAGGAACCAGAATAGAAAAGTCAATTTTATTCATTAACTCCGGTCATGGGAACGTTCTGCGCGAAGGTGGCCTTACGTGATCTAAAAAACAACAGTTATGGCAGATGTTAGTCCCGGAATCTCACTCAGGATATTACTTGGTACGCTCGTCAGAGAAAACGTCGAAAAAATGGTAGGATTTTGACCCTGTAGCGTCGACGACATCTTTAGAAAAATGGGTATTTTTCAGATTAAACTTTGACATTTAGGGTCGTTATTTCAACTCTGACGATTCTTCTTATTTCGTCTGACTTCGAGTCTACAACTGTAATGGTATTCTTCTCTGCTGTTCACATGATGGAGCTAAAGTGAAATCTTGCTGTGCAGGTCACATTCGGCGATAATAAACCAAAATGAAGAAATGAATCAATATGGCTTCCAGTGTATATCTCTATAATATCTATTCAGTGAGAAAATTGTCAAAACACCAATTAAGGACCAATTTATTGTGCTACGCCATTTAGGGGCAAGAAGGTGTGAAATTTGCTACCGCTGAATACGCCATTTAGGGTTCAATTTGAGATGCTTTGACGAGCATGCGTACCAGGTAATATCATGAGTTACCCCCCGGGAAGTTAGTATGCATGTGCGCAAATGGAAATGCGCTTGCTACACGTGTCAAGACAACCTAGATTACATCACGAAACCAGCTTGCTAATGGAACGCAAACAGTAAGTAAAGAATGAGTAAGGTGCATGGAGTTGCATAGCTCAATAATATACACTCACCATGGCTAGAAGCAATATAAGGAGGGAGCACCTTCCAAAATGGAGATCGTTAGTACACGCGTTATACAATATTCTAGAAGTAAAGAGGAATACGAATATTAAGTATATGAGTAAGTATAATACAAATTACGTAATGAGAAACAAACGTAAACATATATATATAGTATATCTTATTTATATACACGCCCACGCCCGTACACGCACAAGCACCGCACACGCACACGACGTACACACACAACAACACACACAACACACACACACACACACACACAACACCACACACACAACACACACACACACACACAGCACCACGGGCTAATAATATATTATATTATATGTGGTGTATATATATATATATAATAAATATATATATATATACATATATGTTTACTTTACGTTTTTTCTCATCACGTTATTTGTATTATACTCACTATTGGTATTCCACTTCACTTCTATAGACTTATAATGCGTGTATTAAAACCATATATTAATTAGACACTTTTATATTTTAATTAAAATTATTTCCACGTGGAATAATGTTACTTTGGGTGTATTAATTTCATACATATACATGTTTTTCGATTTGGCCCACCTGACCCAGTTTTCCAAATTGTAGCAAATTTGCTACATTGGGTATTAGACGGAAGACAGTTCAGGATATACTATTATTTTCAAAGGTAAATTTCACCAAAAACACAATGCGAATTACAAATAGATGGTCCATAAAGTATGTATACACAAAGGGGGAGGGAGTTAGATAATTTTTTTAATTTTTTAAATTTTTTTTATACGGGATGGGGGAGGTTGGGCGTCCACAAATCCCTAAATTTATGCATACATACTTTATGGTCAGTCCCTAGAAAAGTAAAAGGACAGAAAGACGAGGAAGCAGGTTTACAGATGGTGTATTCAGAAGTAAACAACTACATGTTTATATCATGAAAGGAAACTAAACCCATGTGAAAGACAAGTTCAAGGTTACCTAGTGGCCATGATATGCAGCAAAACAATTTCTGTTTTTGTTGATGCACAAATGCACGTTGCACTTGGCATATGTCATATGTGCAAACCCATCAGGAAAATTTTTACGGCGCTGCCTCTTTTCTTCATTATGTTGGGTAAGGATCAATACCATCAAGCCTGACATCATCTACTGGCTTGGTATTGACCTGTACCTTCCTCTTCTTTGCTGAGTCAGTAGATGGTATGCTTCGTATGGGCTTCCCACTCTTACAGAGTGCTACTGCTACGTGGGCCTGGAATGTTTTGAGAGCCATAGGTTTCGCTACTGCCAACACTTTACAGTCTCGTTTGTATGCAAACCATGCATTTACAACAGAAATTGTCAATGTATGATAAAATACATATAAATACCATCGTTTACTCTTCAAATGGTATTTATGTAATGAGCACATCATGTCAAGGAGGTCTACACCACCCATTAACTTATTGTACATACCAATAACACCTGGCCTGTCAACATTGATATGTTCTTTCTTAGACCTATCATACCTTCGTACAGTGTCAAGAGGTTCTGCCCCCACGTATGAAGACACAAGAGTAACACATTTGTTGCCCAACCAACGAACTAGTATGATATTTGTGGTTATTTCTACAACACTATCAAATGCCCCTCTTCCTTCTTTTTTAATTTCTTTTCGGTTTTGAGCGGTCATGAACCCGATTGATGTTGATTGTGCCAGTATAGAAGAAGCCTTTTTTTCTCAACTCGTGTATCATCTGGAAATCTGAGATAAAATTATCTGCGAATATCTTGAAGTTGTGTTTCTCTGGCAAGGAGGAACACAGCTTCAGCACTACATTCCCCCCAGTCCGCATGCAGTCAGCATGGCCGGGTAGATCAGTATCAGTACCCATACCAGTACACCTTCCTTGGTATATGTCAAACGCATGCAAAAACCCAGTGGCAGCACACCTAGCCCAGAGTTTGAAACCCAACTTTTTAGGTTTTTTGGGAAGATACTGTTTTAGGAGAGACCTTCGCTTGAAAGTCATCATGATTTCGTCTACGCACTGGTTCTGACCAGGGCTGAGCTTGGCAAAATTTGCATTCAGATCACGTAGCCAAGGCCTTAGTTTCCAAGCCCTATTTTCTTTTTCTGCATCAGTAGCCAACAGATTGTTCGTGATATGGAAATACAAAGTTATTTTTTGAAACCGATTTCTTGACATCATATCAGCAACAGGGGTGTAGCGTGTATCAGTCTTCCAGTAACCTCCTACAACCGGCATCTTGACCAACCCCATGGAGAAATACATTCCTGTGACTGTTTCGAGTTTTTCTGCTGTAGTTTGAAGACTTATTCCCAACTTTTGGTGAGCATAATTGTTTGTCTCCATAGCCAAATTGGCAAACATGTCATCATTGACAAATCTTTTGAAATATCTGTAAGGTGACAAGTCTTCCCTTGGCTCTGGTTCAAGAACAACATCAACAAAATTAATGTCTGTAGGTATAGGACAAACACTCTTCGTTTATCGAACTTAATGTACTCTGGTTTCTTTGCTGCTATTCGTGGCTTCTGACGAGGTTGACAGACCTTCCGCGCCACAGAAGAAAGAGGTTTGTCATCTGATGAATCAAAGTCAACACTGGAGGATCCCTCACTGTCTGGAGAAGATTCATTGTCACTGTCTACATCATAGTTATCATCAAGCCACCCATCATCAGAGTCACCGCTTGCGAGTTCATCAAATTCACTATCCAATTCATCAAGGACCTCCAAGACATCCTGCACATCAGACTTGCCATCTAAAAATAATTCAGAGTGAATAGTGAGTGATTAGGATATGCGAATGCGGAATATAATTTATTATTATATATGTATAGCCTATATATTGGCCGTTGACACTTATTGATCAATGTAGCAAATTTGCTACCACGAATTTGCCCCCCACCCATGACAACCCATTAGAAATGTTATTGAGAATATTATTCGTTTACATAAGCTGTATGTATTCTAGATACAGTATAACAGCAAAAAATATAAATACATATGTAGAGTAAAGGGCCGAAATAGTAAGAAAATCCTACCTCGAATCCATATGTTCAACGAAACATATATGCAGGTCGCCATCTTCTCTGATGAATCACAAAGGGGGTGACTATATTCAAGCCGGGTAACATATATAATATTATATTATGGGCCGAGTCCGTATAGACCGAGTCTGTAATAGGCCGACTTCGTCAATAGGGCGACACTGCTATGGAACCAAGGAGCTAAATATAACAAGGAGAGGAAGCGCCGCCATATCTGGCCTAAATTTAAATCATATATGATTCTATTTAACATATATATTATATTATGATCTTGCGTACCGGCTTGAATATAAGCCGCGTTCACACGGTCGATCATGGTTTGGCTCGAGCCAAATGGGCTAAATTTGACTCGGGCCAAATTTGGCTCGGGCCGGTTTGAGTCGGAGCGTTCACACGTACGCAAGTGAATTGTCTGTCAAATTCAAATTCAAATTCAAATAAATTTTATTGCACAAATATCTCACAGATACTTTGGCAGTATGTCGCGAAATGGCGTTGTGTACAATTCAGAGTGTTTACTTCCGTTCCGAGTTCAAGTATCAATCTTGAAAACGTGCATCCTGATTAAATTTTTCGAATTTTTATACTGTTTTGGACTTTATTTCGTCGAAGTACACGTTCGACACTCGCGGCATCTACCGCTAAACCGATTCTACCGCTCTACCGCTCGCCGAAAGCTGGTGCTAAAATTTGGCTCGGGCCTGGTCCGACGTTTTCGATGGGACCAAATTGGCTCGTGCCAAATTGGCACCGTCCCTCATCCTCTCGCCTAGTCTGCATCCTCATCCGCTCCTTACTACTTCCTCATCTGCTCGCTCTCTATCTTTCACTCACTCATCTCCGCCGCTCCTTTATCTTTCACTCCTCATCTCTCGCGTCCTCTATCTTTCACTCCTCTTCTGCGTCCTCTATCTTTCACTCCTCATCTCTCGCTCTTCTATCTTTCACGTCCTCATCCCTCTGCTCCTCTATCTTTCACTCCTCATTCTCGCCCTGCCTCTATCTTTCACTCCTCATCTCCTCGCTTCTCATCTTTCACTCCTCATCTGCTCCTCCTGCTATCGTTTCACTCTCATCTCATCGCGTCCTCTATCTTCACTTCTCATCTCTCGGCCTTCTCTATCTTTCAACTCCCTCATCTCTGTCGCTGCTATCTTTCACTCCTGCGATCTTCTCGCCTCTTCTATCTTTCAGCTCCTCATCTCTCCCCTCTCTTCTTCTTTCACTCCGTTCATCTCTGCCTCCTCTAATCTTTCATCCTCATCTCTCGACTTCTCTATCTTTCACTCCTCATCTCTCGCTCTCTATCTTTCACTCCTCATCTCTTCGCTCCGCTCTATCTTTTCACGTCCATCATCCTTCGCTCCTCTATCTTTCACTCCTCATCTCTGCGGCTCCTCTTATCTTCATTCCTCATCTTTCGCGTGCTCTATCTTTCAGCTCCTCATCTCTCGTCCCTCTATCTTTCATTCGCTCATCTTCGCTCCTCTATGCTTCACTCCTCATCTCTCGCTCCTGCTATCTTTCACATCCTTCATACTCTTGCCTCGCTCTATCTTTGTCACCTCTTCATCTCTCGCCCTTTTATCTTTCACATCCTCATCTCTCGCTTTTCTATCTTCACTGCTCTCTCGGCGGACCCTCTCCCCCTCGCTCTAACTACGTGTAGGAGATTTTTCTGTTACGTGTGTTTTCGCCCCGTGTTTCTGCGCGTGCCCGCACAGGCATATCTGTCTACCGCTTAGTATACATAAGACGATACTAAGTATATATATATAGGTCGGCTCCTTCTAACTCATCTCTATCTCAAGCTCTACTTAGTCATATGTCCTCGAGTAGGCAGCGGCAACGAGACGAGGTTGTCAATTGACGCACATAATCAAAATTCGCTTTGGGGCGGACGATCTAATCACGTTTATTTTCAATGGGAAAAGGCGGATTCTGTTGGTCGCTTTGCCGTTGATGATTTAGTCGACATCGCCTGACGCACAGCCGGGCGGCATGCGTGTAACGAGCGCGCGCGATCATGCGTCGGCATCTCATTCCCGCGTGATGCGGGCGACGCGTCGTCGGCAGGCATCGTGCCTTTCTTCTGCGGTCGTTTTTCTCGACGTCAGCCGTCGAAGCAATTCTCGCTCTTCGTCATTGTCTCACCGCATGGTGATACCGGTGCTTTCTTCTCTCTCCCGTCTGCTCTCTCTCCTCTCTCTCTGGCTCTCGTCTCTCTCTCTCTCTTCTCTCTCTCGTCTCTCTCTCTCTCTCTCTGCTGATTCTCTCTCTCTCTCGTTCTTCGCGCGCCTCTCTCTCTCTCTTCTCTCTCTCTCTCTCTCTCTTCTCTCGTCTCTCTCTTCTTCTTTGTTTCTTGCTTCTCCCATGTGATCGGTCTCTCTCTCTCTCTCTGACTTCTCTCTCTCTCTTCTCCTGATTCTCATCTCTCTCTCGCTCCTTCTCATTACCCCCCACGCTGTCATGCTCTCTCGTGGTCTCCGACGGTCGGTCGTCTGTCTCATCCTCTTCTCTCTCTCTTCTCTCTCATCTCTCTCTCTCTCTCGATTGTTCTCTCTCTGTCTATCTTCTTCTCTCCTCTCTCTCCCTCTCCCTCTCTCTCTCTCTCTCTTCTATCTCTCTCTTATGCTTGGTCGCTATGCCGTTATCTCGTCGATCTGCACAGCTAAAGAGACGCACCGCGCCGCGCCACACGCACACATTATCACACACAACACACACAGCACACACACACACAAACACGGCACACACACACAGCACATCACAACACAAAACACACACACAACACACACACCACAGCACACACACAACACGACACATCAACACCACATACACCAACACAGCACACAATACGCCACGAAAGCGCGCGCACACGCCGGGCGACATATCGCACCCTTGTACTCCTCGTGTCTGTTCGGACACAGATGTCGCCCGTTTGATTTGGACTTTTTCGCTCGCGCAAATCTCTCGTGTTATGTATCGGGTACATGACGAACAGCTGTTTTTATGGTGTTCTTTGGCGTTTTTATCGGTAAAGAACCCACGAGTTTACCCGCATTAACAGTCCATTGCTCCTTCAAGATCATTAAAGGTTGCGGCAAATGTTTCGCGCACATTTTTTTATGTTATATAGATGGAGATCCTATATTGACCTCTGTAGCAAATTTGCTACACTGGTTTTCTGGGCATGATGAGTGAACAAGTTCACTCATTTTAACCTTTATTTTCCACTGTAGCAAATTAGCTACAATAGTTAGTTCTTTTAAAAATCAATAGATAGCAGCACTACTCGACTTTTGTGATTCGGTTGTGTCTATAGGCGCGTTCACACAGACGTATTTGGCCGTACGCGTGGCGCAGAAGGCCACGACAAAACAATCCAATGACAATCATCCGGCCAACAAGCACAACTGCAAATCCCACACACAACCTGCAAATGACGCCACAATCACAACTGCAAATCCCAAAACACGCAATCCACAACACAACTGCAATCCCACAACACAATTCTGCAAATCCGCACAACACAAATGCATATCCCACACACGACAAATGCAAAACACGCAAATAGCAAAACGCGAGCAACGCCAAAGCAACAATGCAAATGCCGTACAACGCAAATGCAAACGCCACAACACAAGCAAACGCCGACAACGCAACATGCAAAAGGACAAGCAGCAACGCAACGCCACATACGCAAATGCAAAGCGACAACACAAATGCAAAATTCCTGCCCGCGCCCCCTGTACTGTTTGTACTGGTGGACGCATTGTGATCATGCAGGAGTAGATAATCAGGATATCTTACTCATATCATCTACTCGCTGATTGTATACAGCTGTAACGCCCCTCCCCTCCGCACCACACGCTTCACGCTATATGGGCGCGGAAGAGAAAGCTGCGTAGAGAATGCCAGGCAGGGGGAGAAGCTGGTGGAGAAAGAAGGAGGGGGAGAGCGGGTGGAGCAGGAGGGGAGAAGGAAGAGGGGGAGAAGCGTGGTGGAGAAGGAGGAGGGGGAGAAGGAGGAAAGCTGGTGGAGAGAGGAGGAGACAGGCTTGCGGGAGAGCGAGGAGGGGTGAGAAGGGAGAGAGCTGAGTGGAGGAGGAGGAGGGGAGAGGAGAAGCTGGTAGAGAGTGGAGGAGGGGAGAACGCGTGAGGAGGAGGAGGGGGAGAGGCTGGTGGAGAAGGAGAAGCCTGGTGAAGCGGGAGGAACTTGTAGAGAAAGAGGAGGGGTGGAGAAGGAGAAG